TATTTCTTGTAAGTCCCTTTTAATTTTAAGGTCAGCAGAAGAAAATATAGGGATTTGCCAGAGGTTGTTACATATTGTGATGAATCTTATCATGTGACCTTGCAAGATGGAATCAATGTCTTGATGTTACTGTCACATATGAATCAGTAGTAATAATTGTCATTTTCATTGCCTTCAGTTCAACTCAATGTCTTCTTTTAGACTGTTCTGTACACAAATGTGTGCATGTTGTCCTTAACTCTGTCTTATAGTCTGAATCATGGCTTCAAACCATTCAAGTCAGGGTGAGTATAATTACAATGAAAAGATGCTAACTAGTGGGTTTCAGTGCCTGCATTGCGGGAAGATGTATAAGTCCCAAGGCATCAAGTAACACAAACCAATGTGCAGGATGCGCAATGCAGAAGGTCAAGAGGCCTTCAGTGGGAGTTTGAGAGAGATCAGCAATCAGTGATCAGCTCTAGGTGAGTCCTTAAAGTCATCCATCACTTGCTTTCTTTCACTGACATATTTAAATTTGATTCTGATCAATCTTAAATAGCACACCACAAGAAAACTTGATGAGCAATGGCCTTAGCAGCAGCTGGTCTGTCACACCTCATTGTGGATGACTTGTTAGCTGAAAACTCAGAACCACAAGCTGACATGGGGCAAGGTACATCAGTTCACTCAATTTTGACAGATTAATGTTCACTCTGACACTTCAACTCAACACCTATAGCTGGTCTGGACAACTAAACAGCATTTTACGCTGGAAATGAGGGTGTTTGGAGTCCAGGTATGTAATTCTCTCTTTGTTTCTCAACTGATTGACAACTGTCTATACCGTAAATAGTCTTATCTGATGCTAGCATGGCCAGTAATACTGGTCCTGAAAATATCCCACCTCAGCTCACAGTGCACATTGAATACCCTCATGAGTTCAAAACTGAGATCCACCCCCATTCTGGCCATGAGACTCTACTCCAAACATTTGAGGAGTTCAGTGTTGCCCCAGAGGCACATAAAGCACCTCCTGCAGACAAGGAACCTTGGCATCCATTCCAATCACATGGAGACTTTGAGTTCTCTGAAATTGCACTTGAAGCTGCCCTCAATAAGGGCTAGGTAGACAAGCTCCTCAGTCTTATCACCTGCATAGTACAGGGTGACACTCAAATTACACTGAAAAATGAAGCCAACCTCTGCGTGGCATTAGATAATGCTGCAGTCGAGTTGACACCAGTATGTGTTCTTTTCTTTTTAAAACACACAATGCTTGTCTGACTATTTAGATTGTTGTTTAGTTTACCAAACATGAGATCACAGTGCCCTACAAGAAGGAACAATGAGTCTTTAAGGTACATGCAAGGCCGATATGGGACTGGGCCCTTGATGTCTTGGATGATCCACTACTTGCACCACATTTTGTTTGGGATGCCCAATACATCTACAAGCACAATGGAGCCAACTATGAGCACTTCTTTAATGAACCGTGGACAGGTGATTGGTGGTGGGATATCCAAGTAGGTCATTATGTTTAATATTCGTGTATATGTGCAATCATCATGTCTATGTAATCAGTCTCATCTCTTGCCAGGTCTCAATGCTGCCCTGCTTTGTTTCATATTATATACAGACAAGACCAAGCTGTATACACATGGTACTGTTAAAGGATATCTGGTAATGGTTCATTGTACAAATTTACCTGTTGACATTCAAAATGGTGAGGGAATTGGTGGTGGTCTGTTATACTCAGCACCGCTGAGCAACAGTAGACTTGATGGGATCTCTTCCACATTGACCCACAAGGAGTCACTGGATGCAGAGGACACTGCATATGTGTCTTAAGAGAGGCCACACCACGTTCAGTAATGGTAAGCCGAGAGGCTTGTCATTACCAGAACATCATAGTCCACTGGATACAGAGTATTGTCCAGCAGACCATTGGTAAGACTAAGTGATGGTCTCATCACAGAATCAGGATAAAATCCAGTACCACTAAGATACCAGAAGCCAAGTCAAGGTCAAATACAAGTCAAGATAAAGTTAGAGAATACATGGTCTAACTACTGGGTATATATAGTGAATCATCTATGAGTTCAGGGTAGGTAAAGTGACCAGGTCTAAGGGTATGGTCGAGTCAGAGATAAGCGCTATCAGCAATAAGTGTGATAAGGTCTATCAGTGATAAGGGTTACCAGTCAGTTGGCAATGATAAGAGTGAGTCATAACTGGCACAGCGGTAAGTGTTCAGAGATAATAAGAGATAAGGAGAGAAGCAGCAGCTTCTATGTTTAAGGTTCAATCAATCAAAGGAAGGACAATATAAAAGGAAATATATCCAATAGTCCAGGTCGAGTCTAGAGCTGTCAAATAGACATGTTGCATTTTTGCAAGATGCAGAGAAAATCTTACTTAGCCCCATGACCTCAAAGTGTCACCCCCTCACCTGAAAAGGTTCCCTTTAGCTTATCAGTTTCCATCCCAGATCTCAGCACATCATCATCTATGTGGACCACCTGGACCACCAGCCCCAAGGCTGGAAATCCTTTTCCCAGTGTCAATCCTAGTTCTTTGACTGCCAAACCCAACCCCTGGACTGTTAATACTGACAATACTCTCGATAGAGTTGATTGTCAAATGGAGAAACAGGGTGAGTCCTTCTATGGAGGCATCACAACATTCACCCTTATTTCATTCTAGGTCAGCTGGCTTGGCTGATGAACAAGGAATTTTCTTCCAAGTTCACTGTGTATTATACAATGCTGAAAGTCTCACCCTCCTTCATGAGAGGAAGGCTATGCAATCAATTTGTGTCGATGGCTTGTCCTGATCCCTTCCTTGGTCAGAATGGACCTGCCCCTAAGGGTTGTGTTGCAGTGTTCTGCTCATCAAATGGTGCAGGCACTGTGATTCAGCACTATCACATACCTGTTGTTACGCGAAACCTCTTGGATGAGATCCAGCAGCACTAAACCCAGCAAGGGGTGTTTACAGCATGACTTTTCAGCACTAGCCCAGCAAGGAGCTTGCCTGTGCTTAGTCTGAGTAAGGGTTGAGGCCCTTACTTGCATAGAGTCAATTTGAGATTCTCAAGGATATGATCCAAGAGAACAGAGTTCAACTCAAGAGTATCGTCTCAAGAGAAGATGGTTCTTTGCACTAAGGGAGTTCTCTTAGGCAAGAGAAGTTCAGACTCAAAGATAAGTACAAGATGAGAATAGAGTAGATTCAAGTTAAAGAATATATCTACAAGAAGACCTGTATATATATGTAGGTAATGTTACTGAAGCATTAGTAAGGGTTCAGGGTAAGTATGAGTCAGAACCGGTTGAACAGTAAGGGTACAGGGTATGGTGAGTCATGGTCAGGAAAGGGTAAAAAGTACCGGTTGAATGGTAAGGGCAAGGGTAGGACATAGAGTTAGATAGAAGCAGCAGCTTCTATGATCTAAGGGAAGAAGTGAGAGCTTCTCATGTTTCAAGACAACACAATCAAAAGAAAGAAGGTATAAATGGAAATGTAACCATGGGCCAGGTCTAGATGAGTCTGCACAGTTTAGCCACATGTTGGTGGTCACATGACATTGGTCATGTGAGTCATGACAGTTTAACCTCATGTCAGAGAACAAAGAATGAAATAACACGTAACACTCATGTTACTGTAACACCTATCACAGATTTGAGCCCAGCCACTCCCCATAAAAAAAACCAAGAGTGCATTCTTCTGGATGGGAGTCATTGTGGTTCTATCTCTACTATAGCTAAGTGTAACATTAAGAAGAAAACCATGGATATTGGAATTGCTCCTTCAACTTTTATTAATTTGCATTTTGATCAGATCTGTCTGTAGAGAAGTCACACACGACAATGTGATATCATTACCATACCATTACTGTATCAAATAAACACTTCATTCTGTACTGAATGCCCATGTATTGAATGCCCCACAGATCCCTTATGAGTGCGCAATGAATACCTGCTAAATGCACAACCAGTGCCCCATGTCATTTTACCATGCATAGAACTTCACATTTTCTGTATCACATTTCACTATCAAGAAAATTTGAGGTTTAAATGGAAATGGGAATGCCAGTCATTACATAATATTTTACAGAACATTTTCTGCACTCAAATTTTGTATTTATTTGTATTGAATGTAAGTTATATGAAGCTAATTGGCCATAAGCAGTTGCATGTCTGTCATGGACAATCTGCACAAGGTCTGTCCTCTTTCTCAGGCTAGTGTGTGTGCTTGTATCAGGTCCTACTATGGACATGCAGCCACATGTATTATTCCTTGGCAGTTTTTTGTCAGGAGGTGACACCATTCCCAATACTGTTTCCAACTCCTCCTCTCCTATGGCAGAGTTTGAGGTTTGCCTGGCAGATGATGATTGTAAGGGGTTCTCATGTCTTTCTAACCTCCTCTTGTCATCTTGCCAGAGGCTTTTTAAGTCAATATTTAATCACTTTGTTCTCATTGAAATAAATCTCTCATGTCTGATAATGGAATTGGGTCATCACAAGTTGCTTCCACATCATCCCAAACCACTTCTACTAGACCAGAACAAGTATCAGGAATTTCAGACTCAGTTTGTGTTAAAAGATGCAATTGTTATGGGAAAGCCCGGCTTTCCAACAGTGCACTTGATAGGGTCGATCCCATGTCCGCTTCATGGAGCACCAAGACGATGGAAGACTGAATGGAGGCTGTCCATCCAGAATGACTGACTAAAGGTTCAAAGAAGAAGCTAGAGTTGTATATCACAAGTGAAGATCAAGTTAGAGAATACATGGTCTAACTACTGTGGTATATATAGGTATCGTCCTATGAGTTCAGGGTAGGCTTAGGTAGCCAGAAAGCGTCCCAACTAGGTAAGCATCTATGTGAGTCATAAGGACTCAGAGATAAGAGTACCGGTTCAATGGTAAGGGTGCAGGGTATAGTACTGGCACAGCGGTAGGTGTCCAAGTCAGATAACGCTATCTGTCATGATAAGCGATAGGATAAATGATAGTCAGTACTGGTGTATCAGTAGGGGTGATAAGGGAGAAGCGTGCGGCTTCTATTGATCCCAGTCTAGGTTGGTTCCAGAGCTGTCCTGCTCCAACAACTGTCATGCTGTGCTCTGCAGTTTAGTCACGTGCCGGTGACATCATCTGTCACGTGTTGTGACATGGTTGTGATGGCGATGTTTGGTGGAGACAATAGGGGTCTGAGGGTCCCTGTAACAGCAATGAGCTCATTGAGCAGTATCAATGACGAGAAAATGCTAAAGCCGACTAAACCTTCTTGAGTCAACCTCCATTAAAGTTGGGGGAAGTCTCACAGACACCCTCACAGTCTATGTCAGTATCCTTGACTTGGTTGATAGATCAAATAAGAAGGTTGCTAAGCAAGGAAATGCACTTAATCAAGCCTCTCAGAACCAAGAAACGGAAGGGCAAGGCTCTGAGTCAAGAGATGACGTCCAAGAAGTGGAGAGTAGAGTCAGAAAGGAACAAGATGGTTCCAAGTCTTCTGAGGAGAATGAGCCATCCATCAAATGTTCCAGAAGACAGCTTGATACCATCAAATTCCCATGGCACAAGAAGCAGGTTAACACCATTGCCTCTTTGGTGCTGGATATCAAGCAGACCTTTGACCAGCTTGAGCGATTCTCAGTTGACCCCAAGGGAGTTGTGTGTGATATCTTATCCACACCCAGGTGTCCACCATTCCCTCCAGAGCAATGGCTCAACATTATTTGATGGAAGGTTGTTGACTTGGGAAAGGTCCTTGAGGCAGCCCACTCAATGGACTTGGAACCTAATCAGACCCATATCATTGATGACAAAGTCAAACTCTCATTTCAGGCAAGCAAATCCTCAGTCAGAATCCATTCTGCCCCAGACCATAACATTGCCTTCACCAAATACATTAATGCCCTCACCTTTGTCTTTCCACAGCACTGGGAAGAATACACCAGCTGGAATGCACACATGTTAGGACTCTTTCATGCCTTTGAACCATTGTGTCATTACTGAGTCATTGAATACAACAAAGCAGTCTGCACCTTGGTCTCACTTCAATAATACTTATGCCTCACTGATCATTCCACATTTAGAGAGTTCCAATACACCTTTCTGTCCTCCTTTGGTGTGGGTCCCAACTGCTGAATCAGGCTCTAATGGAGGAGGGAAGTCAGATCAGGCTAGTGCAGGAGGAAAGAGATGAGAACCTTGCCACAAGTGGAATCAGAGCACATGTCTTAAGTCCTCTGCCAAATGTTACTTTGTGCATTGCTGTGACAGAAGGGGATATTGCAGAACCCACAAGAAGTCTGATTTCCCACATCTCAGGAAAACAGGAGAAGGATCCAAATAGGGTCATTGTGGAGTCTCCTCGCTATTGAAGAAAAAATATCTGGAGTAATTGGTCTCATCCTCAAAGTCTGACCACTCTTTGGACTAAGATGGAAAATCCCTTGCCTCAACCTCCAGAACGTGAATTTTAAAACTTTCCTGCTCTCTGTACCATTTCAGACAATCCTCATCTCTTTTGTGTCTCTACCTGTATCAATATTGACAAGTTTGAGTCTTTGCTCTTGGACCATTCTAATCCCAATTTCGTCAAATCTGTTTGTATGGGTCTTTGTGAAGGATTCTAGCCATTTTCCAATACACATTATGGCAATTGGCCTCTTACTTTTGACAACTCCTTTTGTCCTCTCAAATCTACTGCTGAAAAAGACTTTATAAAATCTCAGATTGACAAGGAGGAGGTTGAACTTGGTCATTATTTGGAGGCCTTTGGGCCTGATCTTCTTCCTAGAATATATAGTATGCCTGTGCACGCCATACCTAAGCCTGGAGCTAGTAAGTTCTATCTGGTCACAGATCATAGTGCTGGGCAGTATGCTCTCAACTTAATGATCTCTTGAGATGACATTGCAGGGGTGACTCTAAACAACATTCAGCACCTTGGCAATGGTCTCCAGCACTACCGTTGGTCCCATTTGTGGTGGCAGCTTGCAGCTTTGGAAAGTTGATGTCTCTGAAGCTTATTGTCATCTGCCAATGCATCCACTTTGTCAGGTAAAGCAGATAGTCACCTTTGAAGGGAAGTGTTTGTTGATCATCACAATGTTTTTGGTGGATGAGCTTCCCAGTGAATCTATCATGCCTTCATGGCTCTCATAATCTGGATTACCATCATCAAAATCCTCATTTTCCTTTCAACAGAAGGAGGAGATGGAGATGTATGGACTGTATTGCAAGATTTTGCCTCACAATCTCTGTAAACTCCTTTGTTTGTGGGATTGGCTTGGTGTTCCTCATAAGGAGTGCAAACAGATCTTCGGACAGGAGTTGCCCATTATCAGTTTCAACATTGACCCTAATCTCATATGTGTTAGAATGTCAGACCAGTCACATCTGGATCTTGTGGAAGCTCTTCAGAGTTTTGCCATACAAGGAATGTGTCATTTGTTATGCAACTTTCAGCGTCTTTCTAAACATTTTAACTGGGCACTCAATGTTTATCCTTTGTTTTGCCCTGGCCTTTCGGCATTGTATGCCAAAACTGCAGGCAAGCTGGAGCAAAGGGCCTTAATTTGGGTTAGTCGAGATGTTGTCTGGGAACTCTTGTGGGTCATTCACCATCTTGTCACCTCTGATGGGGTGTACTTCATTCACTTTCCTGGGGTTTCCATCATATGTCCCAGGCTACACCTACCATTTACACTGATGCCTCAGGGACCAGTATGAGTTTCTGTTATGATCAGCGTTCACCAAATGGTAAAGGCCTAACACAACCACTAGGACTCGTCAAGGATAAGAGCAAGAGATGATATTGAGAGTGAACGTCTGAGTCTACACTGGGTAGGAACGAAGAGGTTAAGTCTAAGGAGAAACTACGTTAACTACCCTACCTATATACATAACATTGAGTCGGAGTTATCTGAGTCTGTAAATAATCAGCCAATGAGAAAGAATCGTACGATACTGCGCATGACGTAGTATGACGTCGCGATATATAAGCAATGATGTCAGAGACGGAGATTAAGTGATAGGAAGGCATATGGTTCTAGCCCTGGGCGTAGGGGATCTGATCAGAGATGTGATTGGTGAAATGTGAAAAGGTGAAGTTGTGACATGGTGATGATGTGATAGTGTGAAAGGTAGAGGTGTCACGTGACCAGTTCGGTTATGAGACATAGCCGAAGGAAAACCAAGAAATGAAAAATGATTTGTGTTAGGAATTCGTGACATTACCCCCTCTTTAGGGTGAGTGTCCTCGCGAACATAGGATGGTCGAATATTTTTTTGTCTCCATTCCAAGAAACCAGGAGTTTGTAATATTGGAATGACTGCGCTTGCAATTCGACGCGATTTAGGTGCATCAGGATTTGCCGCATAAAACTCGCTGACTAATCTTGGAGAATTTTTTAGGTTTTCTTCGTTTTCCCATGTCGCTTCTTCTAATGGATATCCTTTCCACTTTGATAAGAATTGCAATCGGTTTCGTCGCACTCTGCTGGCTATCACTGCTTCTAATTCGTATTCTTGCATGCCTTCCACGATTTCAGGGGGTGGACGTTCTGGTGCAATGCGAGTTGTTAACGACGAGGTTTTGTGAGCAGTGAGTAGTTCTACATGAAAAACCGGGTGGATTTGATAGGATTCCGGTAATTTCAACTTGTAGTTCAATTCGCCTATTCGTTCGAGTATTTCGAAGGGACCAAGGCGGCGATCCGACAACTTCTGACTCGGTCGTCGTTGTCTGATGTTTTTAGCGTCTAGCCAAACCCTTTGTCCTACTTCGAAAACTGGTGCATCTTTTACTCCCCGATCATAGAAACGTTTCATCCGATCGTTGGCGATTTCTAGCGTTGCCTTCGCTTCCTCTTGTGCTTCTCTCATTTCTGCTACTCTTTGATCGGCTAATGGAACGGTGTTGGAGGAATTAGGGGAGATGATGAATTCGGGATTATAACCGTAGAGGCATTTGAAGGGAGAATGTCCGGTTACCGTAATAGAGTTGTTGTGCGTGAATTCTGCAATAGGAAGCCATGATACCCAATCGTTCTGATGATAAGACGTAAACGCCCGAAGGTATTGTTCAACTTCTTGGTTTACTCGTTCTGTCTGTCCATCTGTTTGTGGGTGATATGCAGTTGACATGGACCATTTGATTCCCAGTCTTTTTGAGACTTCCTGCATGAATTTGGATACGAATTGTGTTCCTCGATCGGAGATCACCTTTTTCGGTGTTCCATGCAGTTTCCATACGTATTTGAGGAACAAGTCCGTGATTCCTTTTGAAGTAACGTCCTTGGTGGTTGGTGCAAGATGAGCTTGTTTGGTAAATCGATCGACTACTACGAGGATACTGTCTTTGCCTTCTGATTTTGGGAGATTGGTAATCAGGTCACAGCTAACTGTTTGCCATGGACCCTCGGGAATTTCATTAGGCTTTAAGGGACCATGGGGTTTAGATGGTAACACCTTCGTTTGTTTGCACCTGTTGCATCCGTCTACATAGTCATTGACCCATTTCTGCATCTGCGGCCACCAATAGTTACGGGAAATGAGTTCGAGAGTCTTAGCACGTCCCATATGGCCTGCTGCTGGTGTATCGTGAAAGATTTCCAGTATTGAGCGGCGAATGTCTTTGTTATTGGGTACATAAACCAATCCTCTGAAAAGAATAAGTCCATCTTCTGTGTTCCACTCCTCTAGTCCTTTTCGCAGCTGTACTGGGGCTTTCTTAAGGGTTTCGATAGCATTTCGAACTTCCGGATCTAGATCTGTGCAGTTTCTGATTTGTTTAAGCAACGTTTGCTCTCCCTGTATCAGAACTTGACCTCTTTTTGCGGCTTTTATTTGGAAAAACTCGGGTTTCAAAAGCACGCGATCCGAATTGTCGTTTTCTACCCCCCCTTTGTGATCTGGCCTCCTGGACAGAGCGTCGGCAGTGTAGTTGACCCTCCCCGGTTTGTGGTGCAGTGTGAATTCATACTCTGCAAGGAACAAAGACCATCTCGCTTGTCTGCGAGTCAACTTCTGACTTGTCATGAAGTATTCAAGGTTTTTGTGATCCGTCCATATCTCTACCGGTTCTGGTGCTCCTTGTACATAATGCCTCCACTCTTCCAAAGCACGGATAATAGCTAATAGTTCTTTGTCGTGAATATCATAGTTTCGCTCTGCGTCTTGCATAGATTTACTAAAGAACGCAACAGGGTGCCATAGTCCATCGTCTTCCTTTTGAGACAATACGCCACCCGTAGCATAGTCAGATGCATCTGTTTCGATTTTTTTTCTTTTTGTGGCATCTGGCATCGCTAATATTGGTGCGGATGTGAAATTGTCCTTAAGGGTTTGGAAAGCTTTTTCTTGTTTGTCCGTCCATTTCCATGGTACATCCTTCCTAATGAGATCGTTCATGGGTTTGGCAATGTTCGAGAATCTGAGAATGAAACGACGATAAAAGTTTGCGAATCCCATAAACCGTTGGATGTCTTTGACACAGGTAGGAGTAGGCCATTCTTGTACTCCTTTAACCTTGACTGGATCCATGGAAACATGTCCATCCTTGATGATTAGTCCGAGAAATTCCACTTCCTTCTGCTCGAATGAACATTTTTCAGGTTTGAGATAAAGATCATTGTCCTGAAGTCTTTTCAATACTTCTCGTACCACCTTCCTGTGTTCTTCTATAGTACCGTTCGTGAAAACCAAGATGTCATCGATATAGACTACAACGACCTTTCCTTCTTTCAGATCTTGGAAAATTTGGTCCATCATGGTTTGGAAGGTGGCAGGAGAGTTTGTCATTCCGAAGTACATAACTACTGGTTCATGGTGTCCGAAAGGAGTTTTGAAGGCTGCCTTCCATTCATCTCCCTTTCGCATTCTAATATTATTGTATCCCCATCGAACGTCCATTTTCGAAAAGAGGCTTGCACCGGTAAGAGAATCAATAAGATCTTGTGATCGGGGAAGGGGGTATGCATTCCGGACGGTCTTCTCATTCAGCCTCCGATAGTCCATGACGGGTCTAAGTTTTCCGTCTTTTTTGGCAACAAAGAAAAAAGGAGCTGCTACTGGAGATTCTGAATCTCGCAGTCGTCCTAATTCATATTCTTGTTTGAGCCATTTTTCACATGCGTCATGTTCTGCGGGCGAAAGGGGATATGCTTTCGAATTCGGAGGAAGATCATTAGGATCCTTGAAGTCTACCTTGTGATCCCATTTCTTAGATTCGGGGAATCTAGTAGATTCTTCTTCGGAGAAGACCTTAAGATAGTCGTGGAGCCATTCTGGAACCATTTCTTCTATGGACTTCTTTTCCTTTTTCTTTTCCTCCTGTTGAGCTAACTCCGAAGCGACTGAGCTTTTGTACTTGATC